ATGGATGGATGGATGGATGGATGGATGGATGGATGGATGGATGGATGGATGGGTGGATGGATAAAAATCTCATCTTTCACAAATGCAGGTTGAGCCACAAAGAGATGATTCCTCGCGGTCACCCTGCATAACGCTCAAAAGTGACATCCAGAAGAATGGATACCTGGTGCAGCTTGAAATGGAAGATAATTCGAGGGTATGTTTAACTCTATCTAAAAAAAAAAACAAAGAGAACAAGAGAAATTAAAGCGTGGCGCGAGAGACATGATGGTTGATACCACGACAATCGAAACCGAAAAAACTTATATGAGTGACCATTAAGAATGCGCGCAAATTCGGAACAAAATTCCGAGCTTCAGGCGGGATTCGAACCTGTGACCTGCTGTTTGCTAGTCAGATGTCCTAACTACTGATTTACTGGAACTCATCAAGCCAGGTCTAGATAGCATTTTAGCTTGGTCTTTTGTCTTGGTATTAAGCTTTTTTTGTGTCATTTTTTTACTTTTACACAGAATCTCAACGCATGGTACTTGCAAAAGCTGTATCTTTTGAACAGTGAATCACACCGCAGACTTCCAGTCCAGAAAAACCTTACCTCTACACTACAAGAGATCCAGACCTTCCTGGACGAGCTTCCTACTCTCGATCCACCAGGTACCGCACACCCCAAAACAGCAGACGTGGAAAGCATAGAAAACGAACTGAAGTCACTGTTGAGCAAATCGCAAGAATGTTGTCAGGTTTGTATGGATGAGGGAGTTTCGCTGGTCAGCGTGCTGTACCGTGACCGTGACGGGGGTGAATTTAATGTCCCAATACGTCACGTGACATTTCCTCGCCATAATGACAACTGGTCGACTTGCCTGTAATGTTCAATAAATGTTGATACAGTCTGTATTCCAGATTCGTGACTAACTGATGTTGTGAATCCGTACCGTAACCGTGCCGCGATATTCACAGTACGAAACCTATATGCAACATGCTTCAGTATGTCACGTGACATTTTCCCGCCAAAATGACAACAGTTCAACTGACCCGTAATTTTCAATAAATTATTGATATTCCAGATTCGTGAAAGGATTGCCAAATCTCTGATCAACATCCAACTTGATTCCCTTTCAACCATTCAAATGACATCTGCCTCAATGTTTCTATTGACAAGCCAACCCGACGATCAGTGTGTTGAAGTGCAGGTACGTCTTGTATGACCTAGAAAAAAACATCGAACTTTACACGAGCCGAACCTAATTGAAACAATGGATAACAAGGCGGTCGTTTTTGATGTTATTAGGTTCGGCTCATCTAAAGTTCGATGTGTAACACGACCATAAACCAGCAAATTGACGTATTGCATGATCACGTGCCGGCGGCCATGTTGTATGGCAGAACAATAGAATTGCTTTGCTCTTGAGAATTGAATTCTTTCTCAACTCAAACGATTGTATTGTTCCTGCAATCCGACATGGTTTTCGTCGTGTGATGATACAAACGTTCTACTAATATTTGCAAGCACGGCGGCGGCCATGTTGGTGGTATTAACAATAAAATATAACGATACATTTTGTTGAATACCACCAACATGGTGACGATGATGTAACGTGCAAGCGAAGAATACAGTGTTTTTACGACAGCCATATCGTAGTGAAAAAATCTTGCTACTCGAGTGTAGAGCATTCTTATGACGTAATCTATGATCTGTAAGAGTATAGACAATGCAATGCTAACTGTTTTGTGAATCCAGGTTCTTTTAGTCGTCATGCTACAAAAGATGATGAGCTTCTTCCAAGTGGAGTCAGAGTCTGCCAACTTTAACGAGCTTTCAAAAGCAATAGCTTCCTTTGCACAGGCGTCAGCAGGAATTTTGCATGGCTTTGCTACCATCATTCATAAAGCTAACTCAGGCAACACAACCGCAGACCTGAACCACGTTGCAATGGTAAGTACATTGTGGGGGAAAGGAGGATCTGACTGTTGACCAAATGGAAGATAGCAGACTGATGGATATACCGACTGACTAATTTGGTGGATGCAGGGTGGGTGGGGGGTTGTGGGGGAGTGGGGAGGGGAAGGGTTTTGAACTAGTTAACTATTTCAATGAAAAGACTGATTTACCCATTGATTTTTGAATGGCTGACTGAGGAGTGGGTGACTAACCATTGAATGGGTGGATAACTGACTGTTTGAGTGCATGGCTAGATTATTGACCGCTGGACAACTGTCTGACTGCTTCACTTGGTGGCTAGGTGGGTGGGTGGGTGGCTGAGTGACTAACTGACTAGGTAGATGAGTCACTGTCTTGTTAAGGTACACGATTGACTGACTAACTCACTGGGTGTGTGAGTGAGTGAGTGATTGAGTAACTCACAGGGAGGGTGACTGGTCGACTGTTTATATCATTGCGAGGCGTGTTTATGGCACATTTCTAATACATAAAACATTTGTTCCATAAGGCCAAGTACTACTCTGGCGTGGTTCTAGAGCTGATCAGGAACACAACTGACACAATCCAGTGCTGCATCTCACAGAACGAATTCCCAACACGAATATTCAGCCCAGAAATTAACTACACCATCAGCAAAAACACCCTTGATTCTTTAGACGGCTTGCTTCTCTATTCTGGCAGCGGCCAAGTTGCTATTCCTGAAGGTTTTGCCAGTACAGTCGTTGGAGGAAACTTGAATGACACGACTCGGGTCGTCACTTCAAAAGTAAGTCTAAAATTACCACATTAACGAGGGTTAACCATGGGGGTTCTGCATTGGGTACCTGTGTCCACTATTCCCAATTGCAGTTCTTTCGTAACCTGCATATGTTTTTTTGAAGAGGCGAGAGAGGGATAATTTTGATACATGAGGGTCCTGGGGTACCTGTGACCACCAGTCCCATTGGCAATAGACCCCTTGCAGCACTTTGGAATGCAGCTCAATAACAATAGGTTTCCAATTCTTATGAGATTGAAATTCCTTGTTTTGTCCTCCAAATTGAGCTCCTCTGACGCCACATGCAAGGTGTCTATTCTCTCGTAACGTAAGGGGTTTTGTAAGCTGGGTCACTACCTAACGCTTAATATTTCACCTTTTTTTCCAGTCCATAGTGTTTCTGGAAAACCCTTTCACTGGTGACAACTCTTCCAGTAACGTACACAGTTATGTCAGTGATTTCAAACTAGGAAACGACACAGGTTCCATTGTGATTGGAAACCTGACCAAACCACTTGAACTGTGGATACAAAAGAAGGGTTCGCGTACCAACTGTCATCAGGGTACACTCAGGTATCACGAGACACATTACATCCAGTTCACAGTAGCCAGGAATGAGAGTTCAATCAACATTGATGTGTTAGACTTACTAAACTTGGTAGACAGACCAGAATTTGCGGTCTCGCTTAAGAGAAACGTTAGGCCAAATGGAGATGATGAATGGCAAAGCTTGCCAACCGTAGACAACCAAGGAAGGAACAGCAATTCTCTGTTATTTTCGAGCAACCGATGGAATAACAGTGCTGCAGGGGACTACTACGTGGCCGTGAAATACAACAGAACACTGGCAAACAGAGAAATATCTGAGGAGAATGGCAACAATGCGCTGAACTATTCGTTGTGTGCTTTTACATCGGAGTGTATTTATTGGGATAAAGGTGTGGAGAAATGGACGGGCGAAGGATGCAAGGTAAGGGTCGTATTTCTCTCTCAGTTACGTAGTTCAAAAGGCACAGCAAGTATGAATTGATATGGGTGAGTATGAGGAGGGAAAGAAATATCCCCTATTTTGCGGCAATCCCTTGCGCGCCTACCTTCCCGAAAAACGCAGTTCACGTGTTAACATTCTTCTTTTTATAATATATGACATATGATATGATGATGATGATGATAATGATGACGTCCACGATGATCATGACGACAATGATGGTGACGATAACGATGGAGTTGATAATGATGTTGATGATGATGTTGATGATGATGAGACGATGTTGATGAGACGATGTTGATGATGACGATGTTGATGATGATGATGACGATGATGATGCCGTTGCCGACAACGATGATGATGCCGTTGCCGACAACGATGATGATGATTAAGATAATGATTAAGATGATGATAACGGTGTTGATGATGACGACGACGACGATGATGA